GTATTACCTGTCTGATGATTGGATACGAAGCAACTAGCTAGAAATATAATTTGGTTAGCTAATATGTCAAAACTAATTAGCTTAGTTCTAACCGTATCCACCACCTATGTTTTCACAACCTCTAATGGATAAACCTCAATCTCTAAATTTGTTTCTTCAATGTATATATAATTTGGTTAGCTACGTCATTCGGTTGTGTGCGGGACGTGCCAACTCGTCGGCCGAGTTCGGCCAGGGAGTAAAATATGTTGATGTCGCGTTGGGCACGTTGTTGACTTCTTGATCTTGCGACTACGGCCGAGGAAGGAACACGTCTCGGCCTTCGGGTTCTAGAGCCTGAAGACAAGGCTGCTACTTCTGCGAAGTTCAATATCGAATTAGGCTTTCAATGTGCTGAATGTAGTAACTTGTAATACCTCACTTCGCCAAAAAGGTTAATGAGATGACCTCTGCCAAGAAAGATACCACGATTACCGAAATAACCTGCATGCATGGTTCGGTTCCGAGCAAAGTCGGCCCTTATCCACCTTTGACATCTTTATCTCCATTTCCAACTGCTAATTATCTTATGCATGAAACGCATAGAAAATAGTCTCCTAACCCGCCACGTTAGCTTTCAAACCAATCATCATGTAAGTGTAGCAATTCGAATTGGAATTGATCTCCTTTGCTTCCAAAAATATATTTCATAAGATAATTACTACGAAAATCCAATAGTAATATCTACAAAAATATGAAATCCAGCCGTCTTGAACCCGCTCATTCAACGGTCTTGATTGCTTTGGCCAATATTGTAAAATTGGGTTCAAACAATTATAAAACAACGATTTAAGATTTAAATCTCAACCAATCCGACGATCCACATAATTTTAAAGTTGTAATTTTAAAATTAAGTACATATAATATATATGTGTGAGACCGAAGTAATCCATTTGGTAAAGAGAGAAACGGGTGGAAGAGATAAGTGTGTGGGGGTGTGGGTGGTTTAAGAGGGGGAGAGAGAGAGTGTGTGGTGGGTGGGAGAAACGGGTGAAGAGAGGTGTGCGGTGGTGTGGGTGTGGGTGGTTTAAAGGGTAGAGAGAGAGTGTGTGGTGGGTGGGAGAAACGGGTGAAGAGAGAAGTGTGTGGGGGTGTGGGTGGTTTAAGGGGGGAGCGAGAGAGTGTGTCTGGTGGGAGGGTTAAGGGAAGAGAGAGAGAGAGAGAGAGAGAGAGAGAGAATTGGCTGTGGATTGGTTTAAGGGAACAGAGATAGGGTGTGTGGGGGGCGTTGGTGGAAAAAGGAGGGGGAGAAAGTAAGGTGTGAGTCATAAATCTTTGAAAAAAATAATATAAAAAAATTAATTGTGTCTTTTGAAGTAATATATAGACACCAATAAATTTATGAAAAAATTTAAAATACGTTCAATTTTATAGATTACTTTTTAAAATATGTTCAATTTTATAGATTACTTTTTAAAATAGATTCAATTTTTAGTGACTTTTGACTTTTGAAATAGGTCCAATTTTTAATTATTTTGAACCTATTTCAAAAAACCCCATAATCTATTTGAATCCATTGTTTTGAAAAAGTTGAGAGAGAAAAATATTTGTGCCAACTTTGTAGAGAATGGGCACATACATTAGTTGGTGCCCTTATAGAAAAGGAAACAAGTACAATTTTTTTGTGTGTAAAATTTGTTCTATACCTACAGAATAAATAATTGTGCCCTTAATTTTGTATCTAAAGGCCTTTTTTTTGTAGCGTGTGTTATTGGTTTTAAGTTTCCTATGTTTTACCTGCCTATTATCCAAATTTCAATATTCTTCTGTAGAAAAAAAAAAGTTTGAATTCTAATTGTAGTCATAGAGAGGACTCACGTGAGAAAATGATGATGGACATGCTACCTCCTAATCAGGTTGCTTGAATTGGTTTTCTTTTATTTATTCCCCGGAGCTTATGAACCTCACATTTTATACATTGAAGAAATAAATTTATAGATTGAGGTTATCTATTAGAGGTTGTGGAAACATAGATGGTGGACCCGGTTAGAACTAAGTCAATTTGTTTTGACATATTAGCTAACCAAATTATATTTCTAGTTGCTCCCTATCCAATCATCAGATAGGTAATACCAACCGAATTGGTGTGCCACTGTTAAACGTTGCAAAAAGAAAAATATAAGGATTGGTCTATCTCTGTTAAACACAGTTCTCGCATGTAATTAAATAATCGGGGCATGCAGATTGTAAAAACACGGTGCCAAGGAAATTGGGCTTCAATTAATCGGGTGTATTTGGTGGGTTCTTCTGTTATCCTGGTTATCTTAGGAGTCAAATTGAGGGAGCTAAGTCGGAGCTTTGCAGGTTTTGGAACTCATGCATATCGTCTCTACTTCTGTGCGCGTGTGTTGATCATAAAAACTACTTAGTCTATGTGGCGTGCATGCCGAATAGCTAATAAGTTAACTACGTCGTTCAATCGAATGCGAGGCGTGCCAACTCGTCTGCCGAGCTCTGCTGGGGAGTAAAATGAATATTGATGTGGCGTTGGACACGCTGCTAACTTCTTGATCTTGCAACTGCGGCCGAAAAAGGAACACGGCTCGGCCTTTGGGTTCTAGAACCTGAAGACAAGGCTGCTAGTTTTGTGAAGTTCAATATCAAATTCAACTTTTAGTGTGCCGAATATTAAGTAATTTGGTAACACCTCACTTCGCCGAGAAGACTAATGAGATGACCTCTTCCAATAAGGACTCGGAAATCCTTGTTGACCGAAACTTGGATAGATAACAAATCGGTCTCAAAGCAGTGTTGTTTATCCAAACTGAAGCACCTTGGTCAGCTAATTCTTTCCAGTGCTGTTTCTTCAAACTAAAGATGTTGCGGTTGCCACCACAATGCTGTTTATTCAAATTGAAGATGTGTTGAGGCGAAAAATAAAAATAAAAATCTCAAGATGTTTGAGAGGTTCTACGTAGAGCGAGAGTTTGCGTAAGGCAGTTTTGTGTGTTGATTGGAGGGGCTTGAATGATGCACACCCATCTCTATTTATAGTAGCAATTTCCTCATGGCCAAGGTAGAGTTCTATTCGGACTAGAATTCTTCAACCAAATCCGAATAGGTCTCGACCAATCCTGGTTCATGTAGGGCTTTGAATCAAGCTCTTTTATCACCTAGATTCAATCCTTAAATCTCTCAACATCTTTTCTTATTCGAAACAGAATTAGCCTCTGAGGATTCCTTCCTTGTTATACTAGGATTTGGCCATTCTTCCTTATCTAAATGAAACCACTTCTTATGCTCCTACATTTGACACTTCAAATATGTCTAGAATTGATGTTACTATTACTACTTTCATTTTTACAGAAGGAAGGGTTTTTCATTCTTCATTTCTTGCTATATTATATTGGGTTGTGCAAACTATTCTTTATAGGAAACCCTTTCATATATATTAGTTAATTCTTGCTAATATTTGTGCAAACTGTTTGTGTTATGTTGAAGTTGAAACCTTTTTTTAAGGGTTGTACATAGATTTCACATGTATGTAAATAGTATAGATACACATTATAATTTTCTACATATTTTATATGATTTTAAAACTCGCAACATCGTGCGGGTACTTTTGCTAGTATATACAAAAAGGCATTTCAAAAGTTTATGGAGCCAAAAATGACACGTGGACTTCGATTAATTGATCGAGACGATATATCCTTGTTCTCTCGCACTAAAGTTTGAACTCATTCTGGTTGCTAATTAAAGTAGTTTATAGTATCTATAAATTTATCAAAAAGGGTAATGCTAGGAGACAGAATTTGTAAACTAAATGATATGTTACCAATAGGAATGATCAAGATCTTGGAACTCAATGTGAAAACTCGGGGGCTTGTCTATAATGCACCAGAGTTTTCGAGTGTCCAAATTGCAAAAATAAAATAGAAGAATGTCTTTGACCCTCAATATTGTATGTCCGCTTCATACCATGCTCACATCGGAGCATGATAGAATTTTTAAAAAAGTCGTCATTGCTTTGTACTTGAAGGCTTAAACCAAAATGGAGAAAAACGGACGAATTCGGTGATTGTGTGCATTCAATCGTATCATGGATGAATTAGCAACGAATCCTCCATGTTGGTCTTACACATTTGGGATTCGATCGTCCTTGGTGCTATCACATTCATTCATCGAAGCTAAATAACATTTTCTTTCCCTCTTCTTTCCTTTTTTATTTTTTTGAATTTCACCACATATCAGATTGACATATATACCCTTAAAGTTGCACTACAATTGCAAGCAACCAACCCTTCTTTTGTGTGGTTAATAAAGGTCCATGCATGGATGACACAAAAGAACCGCCGGTTCATACGAACGTGGAAAAACATCAGTTGTTTTTCATTTTTGTAGAGAGGAGTTTGGCCTTGGATGGTGAGAGCAACCCCATACAAAAAAATCGCGATGACACTCAGTTCAAAGAATCCACTTAAATCAATAGTCTCAAGAAATAATAATTAACCAAATGCATTTTCACTTCTAAAAAATACGCTGACATAAAATCTATTTAATTCGTATTAAAAAATATATATATATTTATTTATAAAATAAGAAAAAAAAAGTTTTAATTTCGATTTTTAATTAATATTGTCATGCCACGTATTATTATCCGAAAGTACCATTTTGTGAATAGATTTACGATAAGATTTTCAACCAATTCCGACGTGCCATGTGTCACTATCTATTTACAATCTTTTAACCAAGATTTCGATAAGATTTTCAATCAATTTTGTCACACCACGTGTCATTATCCGAAAACACTAATTTGTAGATTGATTTATGATAAGATTTTCAACCAATCCTGACTCACCATGTGTCATTATCTATTTACAATCTTTTAACCAAGATTTCGATAAGATTTTCAACCAATCTTGTCACTCAACGTGTCATTATCCAAAAATACTAATTTGTAGATAGATTTTTGATAAAATTTTTAACCAATCCTGACAAGCCATAACTTTCCATCTGTTTATAATTATGGAAAAGCATCAGTTTTTTTTCATTATAGTGTCGGTTCTAGCTAGGTAGTGTAGCTTAAAATTTGTCTTGTTATAATTTTGTCCAGACTCAATAGGCAACCTCCTCTCCTCAGTATCTCACATATTAAGCTCTCTCTTCTCTCTATATCGACGAACGCACTCACTTCACCTTAAGCCACCACCTTCTCTGACTCCTCAGGTACAAAGGCAAAAGCCTTCTCCCCGTTTTTTAGCTCAAAGTTGTTTGCTTAACTTTAAAACACGTACACATTTATCTTTTTTGTTTCAAGGTTTTACTTTCACAAACGGCAGCCACCACCATCTCCGATTCCGTCTTCGACTCCTCAGGTACATAGTAAATCTGTTTATTGTTTCTCGTTCATCGTTTGTTTGCTTGATTGGTTTTTTTAAGTCAATCTTTCGCTTGCTTAATGGATGGTTTGGATGGCCGGTTTTATAAGCTTTGAGTGATTTTGAGTTTGCAATATGGATGCACTACTTCAAAATGAACAAAATTATTTAATGGTTTTCTCAAACTTGTTTACTTTCCTTAATGAATAATATTACGAACACAGATTTGGATGCTTTTTATTTTTTTTTCTTTTCTTTTTTTCGAGTTATGTTTGGGTCCAATGATTTATAATATCAACACAAAATACTGTAATGGTTTACTCAAACTTGTTTTCTGGGTGCAAGTGACCCTTCACTATAGTAGTGGGAAAGTGTTTTGTCATTGTATAGCGACGTGGATTTGAACTCCGTTGGTGGTTAATCTAACATTTAACTTATTAACGTTATAGTTTCATTCAAAAAACAAAAAAAACAAAAAAAAACTTGTTTTCTGGGTTTTGGGTAGTCGGCGTCTACGGCCATTTCAGCGTTATATATATATAGAGGTTAGATGCTCATCCATTTTTTTGCTACGATTAAAATCTCTTTTTTTTTCAATTTTTTTTATAAAGGTCTTTAAGTTTTAATAAACGTCTTTAATTATTAAAATATTTTTTTATTTCTAAATATATATTGTTAGAAATATTACATAGGGTATATTTATATTTATTGTTAAATTTTTAAGGAATTGTTATTAACACTTCAAAAATTTTAATATACATTCCTTACAAATGTATTTTTATTTTTAATTATAAAAAGTTTGAAGTGTCAAATAAAATTTTTGAAATACTAATAACAATTCTCAAATTTTAATCATATATTTTCATTTTTACTCATTTTTAATTTGCAATTCTTTTTTAATTTATACCAATTTTATTTTAGTTTTAAGTTTTACTCATATATTAATTTCTTTTTATGCTCATATTTTTTAAACTTTTATTTGTATTTGTACCTATATTTTTTATTTTCTTTGTACCTATTTTTAATTTTTCTAAATTTATATGTATTTATTTTATGTTTTAAAATATATTAATAGTTATTTTTAAAAATATGTTAATAATTATGTGGATACATTATTTTTTTGCTATAATTTAGTGAAGAACAATACTACTCTATTATTGATTTTTAAGTATTTATTATATTTTCAAAATATTATTTGAATTTGAGGGTACATTATTTTTTAGCTATAATTTTGTGAAGAACAATATTTGTGACATCTTGTTACGAGATTTATCGTATTTTATTTTTTGTAGTAGTAAAATTTTCAAAATGCCCTTAAGATGCCATGTAGAGCTCAATTTTCCTTTCACCTTTTCAGTTTTATTTTACTATTCTTGAATAATACTTATTTTTACGAATACGTAGATGCAAACGGAATCGACTTTGGAGTATATTTGATCTAGTAACATTTTCTTTTATAACAAATTAATTCAAACTTTTACATTTCCTGCCCTATTTTTTTAAGTAAGCTACGAGATCCATACTCATACTCATTTACCCTTTTTTTATTTTTTCAAGGTTTTACCTTCACAAACGGTGGCCACGTCCATGATAAATATGCTTAATTGTTTCTCGTTCATCGTTTTCTTTACTTTATGGGGTTTTTTTTGTCAATCTATTGCTTTGCTTAATGGATGGTTGGGATGATGAGTTTTATGAGGTTTGGATGACTTTGGGTTTACCATATGCACTACTTCAAGATAAACAAAATTATGTAATGGTTTATTCAAAGTTATTTACTTTCCACAATGATCTATGAAAATCAAAGTTGGTTTGAACCCAATGATTTATGTGTTGCTCTTAGTCTTAACTTGTTTTCTGGGTTTTGGGTCCCCAGGGCTTTCGAGTTATACATAGACAGGGTTCTGAAGTTGATAGATTTAATGTAACTTTTCTTTCTGTATTATGAGTTGAAAAGTAATTTGAAACTCGTCACACCAATATAAAATGAGTTAAAGTCAATATAAAACTTGTTCTACTCAATGAATTTTTTTTTAAATCATTTTTGTTTAGAAATGATAACCGTTGAATTTTTATCCACTGAACAACATAAAACTACTGAATTCTTAGCCACTAAACAAAATTGCTCATTTTCTTTGACAGGCGCACCTGCGGCCACCTTCTTCGACTTCCCAGGTACAAAGACTCATTTACCTTTTTTTTTTAAAGATTTTAGCTTCACAAACGGTAGCAACCACCATCTCCGACTCTGTCTTCAATTCTTGAGGTAAATGATAAATGTGTTTATTGTTTCTTGTGTTCTTTCTTTATGGGTTTTTCAGTCAATCTTTGGCTTTGCTTAATGGATGGTTAGGATGGTGAGTTTTATAAGCTTTGCAGTGAGACGTAGGAGTGCTTACTGTTAACGAGTTCTATCTTGAATCCAAGAAGTTCACCGAAAGCATTTGTGCTTTGTGTATAAAAATATAGGTTAAACACAGTATCTCCTATCCGTATGACTGAAAGTCAGATGCAATAGTATGAACATGATCAACTATTCAATAGTCTATTAACAGTGCTTCCTGGCTAGGACAACACTAGTAACAATGTAAAGACACAAGTTGTTCCTAATCCTTGGACGCAGATGGTCCCTTGATTGACAAAAGTAGTCATTTGACAAAAGAACAACAACCAGGATAGCAAAGCAACATTTCCAATTCAAGTCACACGAAGCAACTCCCATACAAGACTAGTAAAACCTACTCATTCAACAAAAGAACAACAAACCGCAGCATTGCAATGCCAACACTTCCAAAACAACCCACAGAAAGAGTTGGACATCATTCTCAATTAGATCACTTTTAGTTCCAGAAAGAGCTGTCGTTTAGTTCCTGAATCTGATCGACTTATTTTCTGGAGAAAAGTCGAATGGAAATAAACAAATAAAAATAAATAAAAACTAGTCATTCAACAAAAGAACAACAAACAGGATTGCAATGCAACATTTCCAATTCAGTCACACACAACTCCCATTCGAGATAATTGAAACCTACTCATTCAACAAAAGAACTACAAACCGCAGCATTGCAATGCCAACATTTCCAATTCAACCTACAGAAATCAACTTCCATACGAGACTAGTAATTGCTAGTTTGATAACAAAAAAATAACAAACATGTAAAAGTGAAAGGCAGAAGGCAGTGTGTAGGCGAAAAATGCTTTTGTTTCTCAGCCACACCTCCACATGCATCCACCACACTCCGGTAGAGGCTGACCTTTGGAGGAAAAGAAACAACCCTTTTTTCTTTTGGTTTTTGATCATTCTGTTGTATCGTTATGTCTTACTAGGTTTTTCATGGATAACTAAGGATGCGGTAATTTGGCAGCAGATGCCACAACTGAAATGTGGTGTATGGGCGCGGTGTGTGCTATGGTATTGGTTCTTGCATTCATATTTGGGACGAGTGTTCACCTTAATCAGGCTGAGGGTAGTGTTTAAGAAGGGATTCAAGGGTTTCGTAGAGGCTCTGTATTTTATGGTTGTTACTATAACAACTGTAAGATATGAAGACTACGTTCCCAACATGGGTACATCGAAGTGGTTCATAGTATTAGTCATAGTGGTTCTGGCAAATCCAAGTATGTGTACAATCGATAAAATAATAAGTAAGCTCATATCTTGGATTGTTTCCAAGAGTAGATTTTATTAGAGGCCTACGCATCATCAAATCAGTTCGGCAACATTTTGTATGTTTCTCCTCGTGATAATCATAGGGCCTGCAGTAACACGCCTATTAGAGGCGAAGCAGACAATTGTGGATACCAAGAATACAAAAAATATGAATTATGCAGACGTATATTTCTTTAACGTTATATCGTTGATGACGGTTGGGTATAGCAATTTTGTGTTCAAGTCTACCAGTGGACAACTTTTTACTTCGTTTCATCTGCTAATTGGACCAATGCTGGTAGTCAGATATTTGGACTTCCTAGTTGGCTCTTTTCTTGGATAGTGGACAGGGTAATTAAATTTACTTTATGTACATATACCTTATGTTTTTGTGACTTTTTGAAGTAAAGTTTATAATTTTTCTTGACATGCAGACAAAACTTAGAACATCAGTTATACGACGCCAGGGAAGAGCTTGATCAATTGCTATAGCTGCCCTGGCATCATATAATTGTTGTTCTAAATTTGGTCTGCATATCAAGAAAAATTATAAACTTTACTTCAAAGAGTCACACAAACATAACATAAGGTATACGAAAATAAAGTAAATTTAATTACCCTATCCACTGTTGGAGAAAAGAGCCAACTACGAAGTCCAAATATCAGACGACCAGCAGTGGTCCAATTATCAGATAAATCGAAGCGAAAAGCTGTTCACCGGTAGACTTGAACGCAAAATCGTTGTACCCTATTGTCATCAACGATATAACGTTAAAGTAATATACCTCTGCATAATTCATATTTTTTGTATTGTTGTTATCCGAAGTCGTCTGCTTCGCCTCCCATGGGCGTATTACTGCAAGCCCTATGATTACCACCAGGAAAAACATAAAAAATGTTGCCGAACCGATCTGATGCTGCCTAGGCCTCTATAAAATCTGCTCTTGGAAACAATCTAAGATATGAGCTTACCTATGATTGTATCGATGATACACATACTTGGATTTGCCAGAACCATTGTGACTAATACTGTGAACCACTTCGAGGTACCCGTATTGTGAACATAGTCTCTGTTTTTAAGTTACAACAATAAAATATAGACACTATGCAATCCTAGTATCCCTTCTTAATAGCACCCTCAGCCTTATTAAAGTGAGCAATCAGCCCAAATGTGAATGCAAGAAACAGTACGACATCACGCACCGAGCCCATCTACCATCGTTCGACTGTGACATCGGCTGTCGGATTACCGTGTCCTTGGTTATCCATGAAATACCTAGCAAGTAGATACAATAGAGAATGATCAAAAAGAAAAATGGGTTGTTTCTTTTCCTCCCTAGGTCGGCCTCCACCGCCTACAGGGTGTCGTGGATGCGTGTGGCTGAGAAACAAAAACATTTTTTGCCTACACACCACCTTGCACTTTATATATTTAACTTAAAATTACAAGCCTACGGACTGTCTTCTGCCTCTCACTTTTATATATTTAATTAAAACATAACAAACGAAAAAAACATGTACTAATAATTTTTTTTTTAAATAAAGGGTTTTTGGATTTGGGAATGAACTTTTGTTCCGAGTCTCTAACTTACACACCCATAAATAAATTGAGAAAATATTCAATCAAACTCATCCATATATATATATATATATAAAGGCCGAAGATGCCGAGGACCCAGAAAAGAAGTTTGAGTAAACCATTACATGATTTTGTGTTGATAATATAAATCATTGGGTCCAAACATAAAGAATCAAACGATGAACAAAAAACACATTTACTATGTACCTGAGGAGTGGAAGACGGAATCATAGATGGTGGTGGCTGCCGTGTGTGAAAGTAAAACCTTGAAAAAAAAAAAAAAACAGATAAATGAATACGTGTTTTAAAGGTAAAGCAAGCAACTTAGAGCTAAACGGAGAGAAAGGCTTTGCCTTTGTCCCTGAGGAGTCGGAGAAGGTGGTGGCCTTAGATCTGGTGAGTGCATTCGTCAATAGAGAGAGGGGGAGAAAGACGGAGAGGGCTTAACATGCCAGATACTGAGGAGAGGAGGTTGTCTATTGAGTCTGGACATAATTATAACAAGACAAATTTTAAGCTACACTACCTTAGTACCCATACTATGGAAAGGGATCCTCCGGATCCCTCCCACCTAATCCTACTCATCAAACAATCCGGTTTCATGAAATTTGATCCAATGGCTACAAACAGGAGTTCACTCTAAAAGTTATAATAATTTTAGCTGTTGGATTAAATTTCAAAGGTCTGGATTGTTTGATGATGAGGATTGGGTGGAAGGAATCTGGAGAGGATCCCTTTCCCTATACTATAACCATCCAAGGCCAAACTCCTCCCTGCAAAAATGAAAAACAACTGATGTTTTTCCACGTTCGTATGAACCGGCGGTCCTTTCGTGTCCTCCATGCATGGACCTTCATTGACCACACAAAAGAAAGGTTGGTTGCTTATAATTATAGTGCAACTTTAAGGGTATATATGTCACTCACTATGATGTGTGGAGAAATTCGACAAGAAGAAAAGAAGAAAAGAAGAGGGAAATAAAATGTTGGAAAAACTAGGGTCTAATTGTTATATCAAATAACATATAAAAACAAACAATAATTCATGCAATTATATATCAAAGTAATGCATGCACATGACTAACCAATAATAAATAAAAATGACATAATGGATTAGAAAACTCTGGTGCATTATAGAAAAGTCCCTGAGTTTCCACGTTGGGTTTTAAGATCACAGTCATTCGTATTGGTGGCATATCATTTAATTTGTAACTTTTGTCTCTCTAGCATTACCATTTTTGATAAATATATAGATATGATAAACTACTTTAATTAGCAACTAGGACAAGTTCGAACTTGAGTGCAAGAGAATAAAGATACATCGTCTCGATCAATTAGTTGTAGTTCACATGTGTCATTTTTGGCTCCTTAAAACTTTTGAAATGCCTTTTGTATGTATATATATGTGTGTGTGTGTGTGTGTGTATTTGGCTTATGAACAAAAAGTCTACCAACTAAATTATCATGGATACCTTTGTGTTTTATTATTAGAGAAAGACAAAACAACGGTACAAGTCTTCCCCTTGTGCTGCCTTCTCCTTCTGCAGCTGCCCATTACAGAAGAAGGAAAAACAGAAAACGCTTTCTAGCTTCCCTTTCACCCAAACAAAAATTATCAAGAAATTAGCAAGTTTTTGCTGCTTTTCACGTGAAGGTGAAGGCAGCTTTAAAATTCATATTTTTACATGACTTTGATAAATACAGCTTAAACTATCTCTAGTACAAGAGTTCCAAAACCTGCAAAGGCTTTTAACTCAACTAGGTTGGGTTTCCACTATGACTACTCTAATTACGGGCTTTTAACTCATTTCCCTCGATGATACAACTTACTCTCTAGTCAAATCTTAATAATTAGATGTACTAGGTTGACTATCTCTTTAATGTATGGCCATCACAAATTTCATCCATGCATGAAAATTGATTTTGTTTGCGAGTAGTTGTTTTCTTA